CAAAGTTTAGGGTTTAAGGTTTGGAAGTTGGGTGCTTGGGGGGGGGGTTGCACAAACTGGGGTTTAGGGTTTGTGCCTCTCCACAGCCCCCTATAATGATAATTCTTACTGTGGGGACTCCCAAAAAAAGAACCCTAATCTTGTAAGCTACCTAATCGGTAAACCTCAAAACTCCCTATATCGGTCCAATATCCCCCTATACAACAGTAGAAACCTCTGAAGGGACACCGTTTTTACGGGAAACTCTCGTGTTGTAAATGCCGTGACAAAGGTTGCTGCTGAGTCATCGCGCGGACGTCAACGCAAGCAGCCAGCCGACAGGCTCTACCCTGAATTACAAACTTTTCCAAAAACTCAAAGCCAATACCTGAAAACCTTAAACTCTAAAACCCTANNCTCTAAAGCCCTAAAACCCCAAACCCTAGACCCCTGACCCTTAAACACTTCAGCCCTACAAACCCTGTTACCCAAGCCCGCAACCTGAACTTTAGGCTGGGATTGGGTCCCTGTAGAAATGTCCACCTTTTTTGGGGGTCTTTAGGGTTTAGGGGTGTGAGCCATAGTCTAAACTCCTTCACGTCTAAACTCCTTCACGGGGTTATACAGGGGACTGGGAGTTTGACCAAAGCTCATGCAGCCAGAGGCTTCCAGAAGTGGCTTCACATGCTGGCGATCGCTCAAGTGGCCATCTTTGGCTACTTGGGGGCCTAAACCCTAAACCCTAAATAGTAGTTTCCATTTTCTTTTCCATTATCCCAATATTACCCCAATATGACCCCAATAAACCCCCTATATAACCCCAATGGGTATGGGGGACCCTAAACTCGTTCGGGCCGAGGGGGAGGGGGGGGGGCTGTGGTCACAGCGCAGGGCCCTAAGATGTTGAATATAAAGTAGCGGGTTTAGGATGCATAGTCGAGGCGTCAGTTAAGGGTCTAGGGTTTAGCGTTTAGGGTTTAGGGGTTTAGAGTTTGGGGTTTAGGTTTTTACCATTCAGGATTTCGGGCTTATGCTTTAGCCTTCAGGTTAAGTGTTTAGGGTCCTATCATATTGTTGCCCCATGGTAAGGTTTTGCCAGCCCTAACCATAAGGTTCCGAGAGAATCAACCGCACGCCCCAATCTCCCAAGCCAAAGTCCTTAATTACCCTTACCCAGACCCCTGATTAATAAGCCACCTCCCCTGAATGGGGATCATAATACGGATCCTAATATTTAGGTCCTTAAAAGGAGGGGGTTTATCAATCATGGGTCTACTACAAGGTTCCTGAAAATATTTTTTAATTTCTGTTACCTAGAATCCTAATATCTAGCTGAAATTATAATTTCTACTGGGGTTCCAAATCCCTTAGAGTCTACATTAACCCTAAACCCTAACACCACCGACTTTAATCTAAACTTCAAACTCTAAAGCCTTGAGCCTGGACCGTTTAATCCAAAGCCCCGGCCCTAAGCCCTTCACCCTAAACCCCTAAAACGAAAACCCTCTAAATCCTGAACCCAAACCCTAAACCCTAAACCCTACACCCTAAACCCTAAATCCTAAACCCTAAACCCTAAACCCCTAAAACCAGACCCTCAATCCTAAAATCTGAGCCCGGCTTCTTAAAACCGAAGCCTAAGGTTATGCCAACTGCAAGAAGATGTCGCGGCTCTTGGCATCCTTGCCCGGCAGCTCGGCGTGTTTGCCATAAGGGGGTTCAAAGAGACTATATGTACTATAGTCTAAACTCTCTAAAGGGGAATATATAGGGGATTATATAAGGGACTACTATAGGGGCTATTAAGGGCGATACTCGGAGTTTAGACTAGAGCTCATATGAGGTTTGGGGTTTAGGGTTTAGGATTTAGCATTTAGGATTTAGGTAACAGGATTCAGGCAGTAGGGTTTCCCAAAATAAGGGATACTTTTTTGGAGGTTCTTATAATGAGGACTATAGTATTTTGGGGTCTATATTGGGGTCCCCTTTTGTTGGGATATTTAGGGTTTAGAGTTTAGGATTTAGGTAGCAGGGCTCAGGGAGTAGCAGGGTTGTTGGTTTAGGGATTAGGGTTTAGGGATCATATGCAGAAGCCCCGTGGCCCCAGTAGGTCGAAACTTTACTCCTGGCGAAGTAGGGCTTGAAAAATGGAAAACCAACTGAAAACGAACAAGGCAAAATGAAAACCTAAACCCCTAAACCCTAGAGCCCAAACCCTACATCCCAAACCCTAAGCCCCAAACCCAAAGCCCTGAACCCTAAACCCGGGATACCAGGCATTACGCCCCTGGGGTGCGCTGCAATGGTCGGCCACGAGGAGCTCACGAAGCTTGGGATAGAGGATGGAGGGATTTGGGGTTATTAAAAGGATATATAGGGTTTAGTGGTTTGGGGTTTAGGGTTTAGGGTTTAAGGTTTAGGGTTTAGGGGTTTGGGGTTTAGGGTTTAGTAGTTTGGGGTTTAGGGTTTAGTGGTTTGGGGCTTGGTGGTTGGGGTGTAGGGTTTGGGATTTAGGGTTTCGTGGTTTGGGGTGTGGGGTAGGAGTTAAGTGATTTTGGGGGTTGGAGCTAGGGTTTAGGGTGTCGAGGGTTTAGAGTCTATGGTGTAGGGTGCGGGTCCTTTGAAATTGGATGGACGGGTTTTGTAGGGGCTTAGAAGATTTCTGTGGGCTTTGGCGGGGTTGTACAGGAATGCAAGGGTTCTAAACCCTAAACCCTAAACCCCTAAACCCTAAACCCTGAACCCCTAAACCCTAAACCCTAAACTCAGTATTACAGAGTTGCCAGGGCAAGTTTAGGGAAGGGTTTTCTTGGAGGTTCATGGGGTCCGCGGTGCGGTCCGACATTTGGTTATGGCACGAGTTACTTTCGTGTCTCGCGCACTTCTCACCATACGAACTGTCTTGAGGGTTAAACCCTAAACCCTAGACCCTATATAACCCCATATGGTAATTTCCATTTCCTCGCTATTATCCCTATATAATAGCCTAGAGGGATTGATTTAGAGCTTAGAGTTTCGGGTTTAGGCTCAGATGTAGAGTATTGTCTAGGGCTTCTTGGAAAGGTGTAGAGTGGGAACAGCAGGAGCGGTTGAGGGGTAGGTTGGCTGTCGCAAGGACAGGTTTAGGGTTTAGGGTTAGGGTTTAGGGTTTAGGTTAGTTTTGTTGTTCTTTGCTATGGGCGTGCCTTGGAATTTTCTCCTGCCCTTCATCTCCCATTGTACCCCTCTAAAGCCATGAGAGCTCAAACTTATAGGCTTCCACAAGCCAACCATTCATCCCCAAGTCCCCAAAACCCGACGAAAACCCTAAACCCTAAATCCTGAATCCCTAAGGCCCCAATCCCTCAATCACTAGATCCCCAATCCCCAATAAATCCCCAAATCCCTCCTACTCTTTCAAGCCTACGGTGGATATTACAAATCCTGCATGACCCTCAAGTACCTCCTACCTCTGGAATTATGGTATTTTGGTATGCTAGAGTCAGGCAGCTTCTTTAGTATCAACAGCAATCCCACTCCTAAACCTTAAACTCAAAACCTCAAGCCCTAAACCCTAGTAATCCCACACCCTAAACCCTAGACTCTAAACCCCTAAACTTCAAACCCTAAACCCTAAACCCCTAAACCCCTAAACCCTACTGAGGAAGCTCTTCCTCGACCATGGGGCCGAGTTGTTCCCGAACTCCAGAGGAGGGTTAGGGATCTGCAGTCCACCTCAAGTAGATAGAACATAGGGTTTAGGGTTTAGGGATTAGGGTTTAGGGCCTAGGGTTATAGTGCCCCTTAAGTAGATAGAATACGCTAGATAGAATAGGGCTTTGGGTATATTGAAAAAAGTTCCCCATATTCTATCTACTTAAGGGGGGACTATAGGTTTTGGGGGTATTGGTTTAGGGTTTCAAGGCTTAGCCATGGGGGGTTTGGAGGGTTTTGGCGGTCTGGGCAAAGCGTTTTGGGGTTTAGGGGTCAGGCTATATAGGGATGGCTTAGGTTTTAACCCTAAACCCTAAACCCTAAACTTAGGGTTGAGGGTTTAGGTCTTGCCTTCTGACATGGGGGAGCCTCTCCTATTTTCCGGCATAGAATCCTCGAAAGAGACCCCAGCATACTCCCTGTGTAGTCCCTGTAGATCCGGCCCAAGGTCCCTAGGGTTCCCTATTTAGGACTTAGGGTTATGTTGCACCAGACAGGAGAATGGCCTGAGGATTTGGCAAGGATCCTCGCTCTTTTTGTGAGGTTTAGAGTTTAGAGTTTAGGGTTGCGGTCTCCTTAGGAATTGTTTCTAATCTTTGCTATAGTAGCACTTAGGGAATGGAAACGACAATGCACAATAGGGGCAGGGTATGACGTTGGACTGGTTTGGGGAGCATGATTTCGGGCTTCTACTGCAACTTGCCAGAAGCAGTGCTTTGCTTATGCCCCAGAAACTTGCGATCTCGGGGGGAACCCTGAACTCAAGGATTGGAGTGCCACCTACGCCCTAAACCCTAAACTCTAAACCCGGGTAGCGCTTGTGCCCCCTGACCTTGATGGTGTGGGTCAAACCCGAGCTTGCCCATGCATTTGCTGTTGCGTGGCAGTGCCTACCCTGAGCCTTCAGCTTGTCGTCCCCCTTAAGTAGATAGAATATGGGGTATATGGGGATCTTATTCTGGTATACCCAAAGCCATATTCTATCTACTTAAGGGGGGACTATAGAGAACCCTCCGCCCAACATCCTGAAACCTCAACCCTAGACTTAAACCCAGGGTCAACCATCATGACAACCTTCTGCCATTGCTGTCCACCTTTGCCACCTGAGCAGCGGCTGACGTCGTAACCATATGGCTTAGGTGCAGGGTCTAGGTCGAAAATGGGTTGGTTTCTCGTGTTAAGAGATTCAGGGTTTAGGGTTCAGAGTTCGGGTTGCTTTGTTACAACAGGGACCGTGCTCAGCTGAGGGTCCGCAAAGCTGGGAGAGGTTCACGATTTCATCGCTTGTCGCGCAGAATGCATCAATTTGTTCACAGACTCTTGCTAGTTCCGAATGCCGACGAGCATGGAATTGCGAGAGAGCGCGTAGAGCTGCCCACAGATCTCAAAGTTCTCTTCATATCATCCCCACTACGCCCATCTAGGCCCTACAACCTATAGTCCCCCTTAAGTAGACAGAATATGGCTTTGGGTATATTATAACAAGACCCCCCATATACCCCATATT